TTTTATGTCAAGTTTATGATACATAATTTTGAGATTGTTATAAACTATAAGCATAGAATAATATAATACTAAGAATAAGTAAGAGTAATATAATAATAAGAGTAAGTAAGTAGAATAAGATAAGAATAAGTAAGAATAAGATAGTTATATTTTAGCTAGTTTTGTTATGCATAGGGAGGGGGGAGATGTTGCAGATAGTTAGGGTCCGGCGGCCGGACGATATCGCGCTGTACGGAAAGATAGGGCCCCTAATAGCCAATAGTGTTTAGTCTATGATGTAAGCAGACGGATGTGACGTTGTAAACCTTAGCTATATAACACCTTGTTACCCATCAAGAAACGCCATTTGCAGCATCCTCATATTGGTGTCTGTGCTCTTTGGCCCGGGCACAGTTTGGGCGTGCCTGGCCGCCTCGGCGGACGGAGTCGATTGCCAATGTCAGGCAACACTGCCCTGACATGGACTGTAAGGCCGGCCTGACCATACCTCCACCTCTGCATTCCCTTGCACTTCTGAAGATGACACCAGGCCTCCTGGCTGAGTCCACCCAGCAGCAGAGCTATCTTGCCCAAAGGGCTCTCCAGCCCAATCACCACCCACTCTGCACAGCCCCCATCCCTTGGGCTCTTCCATTGCTGACAAATGCCTGTCCAGTTGAACAACAAATGCATCTCTGCCATTCCTCCACTTCCTTAAAATGTTGCAGGCCAAGGGACATGTTCAGCCAAGAAAAGTGCCAGGGCCTAGCTCCGCCATGTGCGCAAATAGCAGGAAGCGCTGCCAGTGCATCCCTCCTGAGCCTCATCGCGGTGCCTGCAATGCATAGTCGAAAGCCACCAGCACTGCTCCCCTGGGCTCCCCACTCTTCCAAAGCTGACGTCATGGCTGCTGGCCCATTTCCGCAAGTGAAGCGTTTGGGAAAAAGCTACTTGCTTGACACAGTGATGAATGGGTCTTCCAAGCTCAGAACTATGGAGGCCCTAAAAGGGTGCTGAAGTGCCTGGAGCTGGCGGATCATGCCTGCACCTCTGCGCTGCCCGTCTTCTCAAGATGACCTCATGCTGGCAGGGTGACTGAAACAAGCAGCACTGTCTGGGCCAAAGTACTCATGGCCCAGTCTCAACCCATGTCATCACCATGGATGCGCCTGCATGGCCAGGGTGTTTCCTCACAAGCCATCCAAAGCAATGCAGGTATGCTGGCAGCAGCATCCTGGGGCACGGATTTTAGGCCTCCCCACCTGCTTAACCTGCATGTGTGTGTAACTCCCAA